CCCTGTATAAACTTATGTTAACCATTAAATTTGCATCACATAAAAGAAAAATCATAGAATTATCATAGATAAAATATATAATTATACATGGACAATTATAAAGAGTAGACTAATCAATAAAAGAATGGCCATTAAAATCTCGTTTTGGCGAAAAACCCTAATCCGCTAAAAAAATCCAAATTATTACAGCCTAACTAACTATAATCCAAAATTATTAAAACCTAACTAATTATAATATTATATGCTGAAATTATAATTATAAGTTTACATTTTATAATTATTTTATCAGACAAATAATAACAAATTAAAAATATTTTATAATATTATCTAATTTAAAATGTATTATTGACAACTGTAAGAAAAATAGTATATTACATGATTTATAATGTAAAAATTAATAAATAAAATAAAAGATTTGGTTATCAATGTAAAAATTAATAAAATGTGTACAAATTTTGGAAATAACACTTCAATTTTTCAAAAATTTATTTTTTTAGGTTTCTATAATAAATTTAGTGAAAGAGATTGTTAGTAGAAAGATAGATATTTCAAATAGAATAAACTTATTATGTTTTATTTTTTTATGCCTTTCATATTATTTAAAAAAATAATTATACCACTATATACAACAAAAATTAACTGCTATACAAAAAATTAACTTTTTTATTTTTCATTTTTTTATGCTTTTTATATTATTTACAAAAATATTTATACAATATATACAACAAAAACTATACAACACAAAGAAAAAACGCCCACAGGGGGACTCGACCTTGAGACATCACATGAAGAAGCAAAGGTTTTAACCACCACGCCACCTCACCATATGTGGTTATAACTTGACGATTAATAGAATATATTTAAATTCCCTTTTCATTTAATGATGTTTGGGAATTATCTTACATCGAAAGATGGGTATTCCACTTTGATATATAAATACCTATGTAATATAAATTAAAATGTTTGTGTAGAAATATTGGCGTAACCTCACGCGTGTCGCACGCGTGCAAGTGCGTGTCGCACGCTTGCAGGGAGGGAACCGGGCTGAACCGAACAGAACCGGATGGGAACCGGCGGTTCTTCTCTAGAACCGGGCAGTTCCCTGTTTCGTATTGGAACCGGCACGGGCTGTGCCGGTTCCCGAGTCGAACCGGGCGAGTCCGGTTCGACTCGCCGATTTTTAAAACACTGGTTTGAAGTGTCACCATAAAAAAAGGACGCAATAGATAAAAAACAAATCTTATGGAAAGTGAGACTTGCTTTCAGTCATTGAACTCTCTCGCTGTTTGGACTTTTAGTAAATGATTCCTCGTAATTGCTTGGTTAGGGATATGGTTTGTGCTAGTATCTACACTTTGATTTTTCATAGGAAGACCTAGAAAATCCTTGATTCAATCCATAGATTTGGTGGTAAATCAATATTTTGAGGGTAAAGTAAGAAAAAAAAAAGGAAAAAAGAAAAGAAAAAAAAGAAACAAGAGCTTGAGGAACTGATGTCCTTGTTAGTTACCCCCTCTGTTAATGAAGTAACTTATGTAGCAAAAGTAATATGGGTATTACCCTTGTCCCCTAGGCTTCAGCCTAATGGTAGTTGTCCTAGTCTGGGTGAGGGAGGTCAAGGGTTCAAATCCTTGAAGTTTTTTTTTCAACAGTTTTTTTTTTAAGTGTTGACTCTAGTTTGTTCTAGAACCCAAAAAAGCTGACCTTCTGTTTTTATCCCCCAGGAAAAAGGTCAATATACCCTTGTAGGTTTCTTAAATCTTGACTATGGATACAATAGATAAGTTTAGCTTTTGAGAAAATCTCGAATCGACATTTTATACTTAAAACTCCACCAATGTGATCTCACTGTGATTGATTAAATCCTCTTATAAATCCCTGAAATTCCCATAGAAAATTTGAAAGAATGACAAATCCCTCTGTTTTTTTAAATTCATAAACTGGATTTGGATTATGATCTGCTTCTTGAATACAATTCATGGAAAAGTTGCTGCAAATTTCACTTCAATGTAAGCTAGAAGTTTAGAATCCAATAAAGTTTCCTGCTTCCATGTCAGTTAGAATATTAGGACATGGTGTGGAAGTTCTGTCCTTGGTAATTGGAGTTGAACGAGCTAGACTGCAGGTCCCTACTCTGAGTGGGATAACTAGGGCCTGTTGTGAGAATTTGCAATTGCGACAAGGAAGTTTCTTCTTCCGAGTGTGGCTAACCATGGCTTCTGTAGTCACCAAATGGATTGCATAATCAACTTTGAGACATTATTCTCCTTTGTGGAGTTTAGCAGAACTCATGGTTATGCCTGTGAAAATGTGGGTATGTGAAGGTGCAGGGAAAAACATTGTCTGGACATTAGCGGGTTCTTTAGCTACATGTTCATAACAAAGAGGGTGGAGTTGGCACGATTCAAGCTGCCAAATGAATACATTCTTAGTTGAGATTGGTTTATAACTGGTGGGCGATTACTTTTATGTCGCTTGGACTTGGCACTTGCTGATGTTCTTGCAGCAAGACAAAAACCACTTTGAACACTTTTAGAGTATTTTAGAGAAGCTTCCATCACATGTTTCAGACTATAGATCATGCATTTGCAATTTCTGCTTACCAACAAATTCCATCATGTTAAAGTATTGTTAGTAGGTGCACCTCAGCCTTCTTCCGTTAGTGATAATTTACTAAGAATTCATGCTTTACATCATCATCATCCGAGCCTTGCCGCTGCAGTTAGGGGATTCATGCTTTACATGCTGCAAGGAATAGAACAAATTTGTCAAAGTATCAGCTTGGGGAGATCAGTTCCATCTTCTAATATGTAGATTGAAGTTAGCCTTTATATGCAATATCTACTTGTTCGAGTTCACCACATTGACTCTGGCAGCGTTCTGCTAATTGTTATGATGTTTATGTCATCTACAGTACCTTTCCCTGCCTGAGCATCAATGCACTCAGTCACACTTGCCATGTGTGACCTGCGTGTACAATTATTTGCCCTCTTGTCAGAATAACTAGGCTTTTATGCAAATACCTTAACAACTGGTGGGCATGGTTTCCATTTATCTGATGATACCTGAAGCGAACAAAATTGTTATCTAAACATTCAAGATGGAAAACAACTCCCAAGGATCAGAAAATAAAAGGAAATGATTTCCCCTGCAGGTTTTGTCAGGGCAATAATAGTGCCATCTTTATTTAGGGCTCTCCATTCTCTGTTAATTTGGTTTTTGATCATCAATTTTGTCAAATTCAATTTTCAAAGATTGTTGAATGTATGGTTACTGTTTCAGTGCTCAAGTATCACTTTTCATATTATTTTTCGTGGTTGATACATGCCCGTGCTGTTTTGGTTCCATCAATTGTTCATGAACACCAATAAAAATACTTTTAATGCATTTGAATGCAACATTTAACTTCCTTTCCCTGGAAGTGATTACTGATGTCTTTATTGGATGATGACGATGGCATTTGACTATGTTGACCGTCATGACATATTTTCCAGATCATTCTAGTTTTACCGTGTTTACTAGGGGTACAGTACTATTCAACAGTTCACTATATGCTTCTCATAGCATTTTGTTTTGCTGCATTTTCAGGGAAGAATATTGGTTGTTTTATGATGTGAAGAGTAGACTCAGAGATGTAGTGTTATGATTTTATGAATCAAACCAAGAATGTCAGAAACTCAGAATCAGAGACTGCTATGGGAGCTCAACTCAAGTAATCAAGTTTGTTCCATGCGTCTTCTGCTGATTTCTCAGAATTACGCTTATGCATTGTGATTTAATCCCTTTGGAACTCCAACTCACCTCTATTTTTTAGCTTTGTAATTCAAAATTGCACTAAAATTTTCATCTTCTTCAAACCAGACAATCACCATCTAGTGGAGTATTCAAACCTGTTGCATCATTATTTGCTTGTAGTCTATAAGAAACATCTGTTCCCATATGTTATTGGATGGGAAATGCGTCTTTTGAATTCTCAGTTATTTTAAGTTGATATGATGGAAAGTAATAAGGGGCAAGTTCAACCCAGTGATCCTGAAACGAAAGATGCGAAGTTGCCTTCAAGTGGCAAGGGAGAAGCATTAAAGAGCTCCCCCACATTGGACAAAGAGATTGATAAGGAAGGATATTTGGAACTTTGTCGAGTGTGCCAATGTGCAGAACCTGACCAAAGAGGGACTGCTGCCCTGGGGTTTTTGAATATCACTCCTCCATCAATGGATGTGGCTCAAAGCAATGACAAGGGTTCAGATGAGAAAGAAGTCGATGATGATCTCCAAAAGGATGTCGTCCAGATGGTAATTCGGGATAAGGGATCAAATTTGGTGGAGTTCAGAGGTCCTGATGGGGAGATATTTATATGTGGTACTGATGTAGAGGCAGGATCTTACCACCATCAAGATGCTCTTATAAGTTTAGGATGTTCTTGCAAGAATGATCTTGCTCTTGCACATTATGCTTGTGCTTTGAAGTGGTTCATTAGTCATGGATCGACTGTTTGTGAGATCTGTGCCAGCGTAGCCAAAAATGTCAGGTCTAGTGACTTTAACAAAGTCATGGCATCCCTTAAGGATTGTGAGAGGTTAAGGGAAAGGACTGCAGCAGGAGAAGTCACTCCTGCAAATGTGCCAGCTAATGTGAGAGTGGATCCTGATGCTGTTGCTGCAATTCGAAGGCAAAGGCTTACTGAAATTTCAATGTGGTTTAATCCTCAAAACAATTCAGCACAAATGTCTGTTGGAATCACTGAGCAGAACTCCTCGGTTCCTGCTGAGAATCCTACCCCAATTGAAAATTCCACAGCTAAATGGGCAGTTGAAGGTACTGCCATACTTCTTGCGACTGGGCTTCTCACTATCACTCTCGCATGGTTGATTGCCCCTCATGTTGGAAAGGTCTGTGTCATTTGATTCTCTATTTTGGTTTAAGTCATGCAAATCTCATTTTTTCCCATTCATTAAAAATGAGCTTGGAACCTGTGTCCAATGTGTTTGTTGAAGAAATTTTTTCCATTTATGTAGTAAGCAGAGTAGAACTTCCATTGCATCCATTGTCATTTGAGTTCTTCTGGTTATATGTCATATATGCAAATAAAATAACATGATACAGTTTTGAAATTTGTGGAAGTTCTCATTGTGCATTTGCACCTGCTAAGTGGTTTCTATCTGCATGAATATCTGCTATTATGCCTAGAAATCAGTGTCTTTATTGAAGTAACAGAATCAAAATATTCTGCTGCAATATTCATTTTCTTTGGTGTGTTCATTGTGGAATTCATTTTCTTTTGCTTGTAGGATTAAAGCTGTTCTCTCATTCCAGAGATGCTGCTTGTGTTTTTGATTGTTTTATCAATAAAATTATGTGAACCTGGCCATGGATCATGATTTGAGTCTATGATAACTGGACGATTAGGCAAAGATGTAGTGAAAAAATGAGCAGGAAAGAAAAAACCAATAGACTGGGAGCATGGTTACTCTCTTACAAAAAGTGCCTTTGAGGCAGAATTTTGAGGTATTGTATCACAGAATGCAAGCTTAAACCTTGGGTCCTAGGTTGTTAATATAAGGCATTGTCTCAAACTTCAGAGTCTCCGGGACTTGCCGGATGCCTGAAGTGATTCAAGTTGGTGGGTTTTATATTAGGAAAGTAAGGTATTCTTCAGAATATTCACAAATTTTGTAAGACATAATCGGTTATCTTCGACATACTCATGAGACTCTGAGAGACCCAGACAAGTCTTTAAAGACTTGTGGGTTGAGTGACACGGTTTAAGACCCAGCAGCCTCCCAAGTAGAGTGGACTTGGGCAGTCCTAAGTCTTGAAAGAGATTTTTTAATGGTGGTATATGGTGTGTGCCTGTGTGGTAGTGGGATATGGTAGGTCTGAAATGGTGTCCAGATCATTTTTGATTTGGCTAGGTTGACCTTGAAGCCTGTGGCCAGTTGGAAACATTTGAGAAAGAGAAGCAGGGAGTCCACCTGTTGTGATGAAGCACTGCAAAAACGGAGGGTGTCGTAGGCATATTGGAGGTGGGAAATAGTGGGCCTGGAATTTGTGACCCTGAATCCCTCCAACAGACCGTGATGATACATCCTAGCGATTGATCTGCTGAGAACTTCAGCGACAATGGCAAATAAAAAAGGGGTTATAGGTCTCCTTGATGAAGACCTTTGGAGGAGTCGAAGAAGCCCTTGGGTGAGCCATTGATAATGAATGAGAAAGATTGGTATCGAATGCACCCATTAATCCACTTTCTCCAATGAGACTTAAAAACCCATCCTTATCATGGTCTCTTCTAGGACTGACCTGTCGACATGGTCGTACGCCTTTTCCAAGCCGAGCTTGATTGTAAGCCCGGTTCTTCTTTGGAAGCCATTTTAGAGTGGATGTACTCATGGGCGATAAGGTCTCCATTGAGGTTCTGACAGTCCTTGACAAAGGCTCCCTGGTGAGGAGAAATAACCTAGTGAAGGATTTCCTTGAATCTAGATGCCAGCACCTTGGCAAGGATTTTATAGGAACTGTTATGAGACTAATGGGTCAAAAATCTTTGAGCTCTTCGGCTCCTTCGACTTTGGGGATAAGGGCAATGAATGTTGCATTCATGTTCTTGTGGATGACTCCTCTATTATGGAGTTCTTCGAGGAGGCCAAGAGTTCTGGGCGGAGGACCTCCCCCAAAAATGTTTGAAAAGGGCTATTGGAAACCCATATGGGTCTGGAGCCTGGTCTTGGTCCAATTCGCTGATTGCTTTGTGGCTTCTGTCCTCAGAAAATGGACGCTCTAGCCACTCGGCCTGGTCGGGGGAGATGGTGAGGAAGGTCAGGTCGTCCATGGTGGTAGTGGGTTTGGGTTGGGCCTGAAAGAGGTTCTAAAAGAAGCCAAGGACCCTTTCTATCAAAGGGGGTGGATCTAGAACTGTGTCATGGAGCTTGATTTGGGTGATGGTATTGTCCCTCCTACGACAATTGGCTATTATTTGAAAGAAAACCGTGTTAAGATTGCCTTGTTTCAACCATTTTATTCTGGACTGCTGGGCCCATTTGATTTCTTTGGTTCTAAGAAGACTTTGGAAGTCGGTTTTCAGTTGGGTTCCAAGGAGGTGTTTGTTGGGGCTCAGGGAGTGGGAATCTTCGAGGAGATCCAGATGGTGGATTGTTCCGGGGAAGATTGTGGCTCCACACTTTGAGGCAAGCCCTAAGAAGTTGAAGTTTCTTTTGAAGATGAAATCCATCCCTTTTAGTAACAAAGAAGGACGACCACCAAGAAGAAATCAAAGAGGGAAGATTAGGTTCTTCAAGCCATGCTAGCTCGAATATGAAGGATCTGGGTCCACCAGTGGCTAGGAGGGTATTGAGGAGGAGGGGCTTGTGGTCAGAAGTGGGTTTGGGTAGAGCTGAGACGTGAGTACCAGGAAAATGTGGAGTCCCAATCTGCACTATAGAGGAAGCGATCAATCTTGGATAGGGAGGGGGAGGAGTAGTTGGACCACGTGAAAGTGGCCCCTTCAGTTGGAAGGTCTAAGAGCTCATGGAACGAGATAAAGTCTGAGAAATCCATCAGCGATTGAGACACCCTGATTGCGGAATTCCTCTCAAATGACCATTTGGTTACATTAAAGTCACCCCCAAGGCACCACCTCGTAGGTGGGTGAGAGGCGATGTTGTCCAATTCTTCCCACAATGCGCTTCGAGCCATGTCTGAATTGGATCCATATACAGTAGTAAACTTTTAGGGGAGTCCATAGGACACCCTAAAGAGGGTGAGAGTTATGGAAAAGGAGGGGATATGATAGGAAGAGAGGGAATGGGAAGCAGGATCCTAGATGACTCATATGCCCCCTGAAGCTCCATTCGCGTTGAGGGAGACCCATTGGCAGGGTTGTCTGCCCCACACTTGATGCACCATGCTGAGAGAAGGGGAGGGGAGTTTAGCCTCTAAGAGAGTGAGAATAGAGGGGGAGTTTAGTCTCTAAGAGAGCGATAATAGAGGGGGAGTTTAGTTTCTAAGAGAGCGAAAATAGAGGGGGAGTTTAGTCTCTAAGAGACCGAGAATAGAGGGGGAGTTTAGTCTCTAAGAGAGCTCTGACAGAGGAGCTAGGTTAGAGGATGCGCTTGAATCATAGTTTATCCCAAAGTTGAGCTTGTGGAGTTCTCTTTGGCCTTTCTTTTTACTTACTTTAAAGCAAGATTGGGTGTCAGAGCGGAAGAAAGTGTCGACGCCTTCTGGTGAGCCATCGAACTTGAAGTCGATGATCCTCATAATCTGGTTGATGTCCCTGGGCCATATCCATGTTGTTGACAAAGCTGGAGCCCACGGAGAGGGGTGATTGAGAGGAAGAGGAGGCTGAGGCCGAGACGGAATCCATAGAAGAGGCACAGGCGATGCAGACTCGGGGCGCAGGCTGAAGGGAAGGGAAAGGGTCAGGCACAAGGGGTAGATAGGTGGTGATAGAGCTGGGAGGCAGCCGGCAAGAAGTGGAGGGTGGGCAGGAGGAAGATGGAACAGGAATGGGGACCAAGGGTGGAGGGTTGTAGAACTAACGAGATCGGGGGTTGGGGTGGGAAGATAGAATGCCAAGGGTAGTCGGGTGGGAGGGGTAAAAAACAGGCGAACGGACGGGGAGAAAAGGGGGGAAATGGGGGGGGGGGGGCAAGAGGATACGGCTAGGGCAGTGGCATGTGGAATAAATGGTAGGAGTGGGGATATCTTGGGGAGGCCTTAGGTGCCGGGCCAAAAAATGGGGAGGGAGAGGAGGTAAGCCACTTAGAGGGGTCGAAGGGTGAAAAGGGGCTAGACCCAAGAAGAGATGGAGGTAGAGTCGACGGGATGAGAAATGAGGTGGGAGGAGGGAGGAGGGAGGAAGTCGTAGGGGTCAAGCGGGCATCCATCTGGTTTGGTGGTAGAGAAGCGATGAGGGAGGTGGAAACATAGGAAGGTGGGTTGAGAGGGAGGGGCAAAGGGGAAGCAGAGGGGATGGTGCCAAAGGAGGAGATGGGTGGACGAGAGGGTAAGAGATCCGTGATGAGAGAAAGGCCCACTCTAGGTTGTGGGGAGGAAGGAGGAGGGAATGGTGAGGGTAGTGGAGACATTAGGAAATGGTGTATCGGGGGAGGAGGTACTGATGGGAAGAGGCGAGGACGAAATCTCGGGAAGATGTGAAGAGGAGGGAGGGCAAGGATGGAGTGAGGAGGCCGGAAGTGAAGCAGAGATGACATGTCTACCCTGATTGTACAAGGAAGGTGGCTCGACAGGGAAAGAGGAGGGGTTGTTGCAGGTGACGGCATCCAGGTGTAGGACGCAAGATGACAGAGAAAGAGTGGTAGGTGTACCCTTTGACAAGTGATGTGATGGGCAATGAGAGAGGGGGGGCTAGGCACATGAGGGGAGGAGGGAAGAAACACAGAGGCCTCGTCAATGAGGGACAGTGTGGACTGGGAAAGGTCAGGATTGATCCACATGAAAGGCATCACGTAGGAGTAGGTAGGGAGTTGAGAAGGGGAAAGAAGAAGGTTGGGTACATGTTCGGCATGCGAGGGAGCATAGGATAGCGAGTGGAAGAGGGAGAGCTTAGCACATGGAAAAAATTAGCAACCCCTTCGAGTCAATCAAGGGGAGGCGGGCCTAGGCGATGGAGGAGGGTGGGGAGTGGCGGATGCCAGGCAAGGCTGGTGAGGAGGGGTCAAGTTGTGAGGCTGGGGGTGAGGGGTGTGGTGGCGAGAAGGGCGGTTGCGATTACGGTTGTTTAGTTGACGTCTTTGGACATTGCTTCACCCGCCGGAGTCTAATGAAGTGGAGGGGATACATGGTGAGAAGAGGGAGGGGAGGTTGAAGCCCAAGAGATGGAGTTATGATAGAAGAACCCTTTTAACCAAATATTGGAGGGAATGGAGAGTGGGTCGAGGACATTGATAAGCAGCTGAATGGATCCCAGAGGTTGGACTTTCGTGGATTTCCAATGGATGGAAATGAAGGAGCCACAACTCTCCTACGAGCTTGAAAGCGGTCGAATGCCAGGCGTATAGTGGAATGCCAGAGGCGGTGAGCCATACCTTCTGCTTCACAAAAGCTCCCAGAAGATGAGACCAGGAAGCCATAGAGAGAGAGGCACCCTAAAATAAAGGGGGATTAGAGTTCAGGGCTTTGGAGGCTGCAACTTCAGAGGGAAAGGTAAGGAGAAAAGAACTGTTGGAAAGGTGATGACAGGAGATGTCTGAGTCTTTCCAAAAAGCTTGGCCCCATTTTTTCTATCCCGCGGATATCGTCTCTTCTAGGACTGAAACTCCCCACCAAGGATGAGCATAGTTTGCATTTGAGCTTAGAAACTTGGTGGCTAGCCACCAGAATAACAGGAACCAAGGAGAGAGGGAGAGAACGAGGAGGAGAAAGGGTCAAGAGAATATGAGGAGAGGAAGATGTAGGGGCGTTGGAGATGGTGTAGTGCAGGAACAAGGGGCTGGAGGGGCTTGTGGAGGAGGCTGCGAGGAGGGCGGTTGGAGGGACGAAACCAGTGGACGTAGCTGTGGTAAGGAGGGAGGAGAGAGGAAGGGTTGACTCCGTCGGACAGAGCCATTAGTGCAACTTTTCTCCTCATCGTTTTATATTGAATTTTTAAAGAAATTTGAGGGAAAGTCCTAGCTTTCATAGGAACAACTTGGAGAGCTTAGAACGTAGGAAGTATTTGATGAGCTTGCCAAGTTCCCACTTTAAGCGATGAAAAGACAAATATGTTTCTTTTATAGCATAATATGAGGAACATTGAACTTGTTGTATACCATATTTTGATGTGATTTGCTGGTGAAATTAGAAGTTTTTTATAATTATCCAGCTGTCACGTCAAGGTGCCATACAAATTAAATAAAGCAAGCCTAGTTCAACCATGATGCTGCTTGGTTGCTAACATTAAAATCAAGATATATTTATAAGATATCCATAACGGGACTTGGCTTATTGCATTATATGCATTCCCTACCGCTATCAGGTGATTCCATCCCCAAAAAATAAGTTAGCTAAGACAAATGTTACATGGACACCGTACTATCTGTCTCGTATGTGTTAGGGTATCTAGTATGTGGAGCCAAAAAGCTCCATACAAGTCTAATTTATAAATTATTTATTTTACAGAAATACGTAAAAATCAGAAAAATAGAAAGACTAGTAAAAGTTTTGAAAAATACCAGAAAATAAGTATGATCACGAAAATTTTATATGCGATTGTTTTTAGTAAGAAAAATTATTTAATCAATTATCATACTTTCTAGTCCCCCTTATCATGGTATTCAATTAATCAAACAAGGTGAAAAAGCAACTTATACTATTGGCATCCTAAGGGATTTTTTTAAGAACTTTGGCAACTCCGAAATAGTGGCAAGCGAATGGTTCGTGTCTTGGTATAAAACAACCAGATTAAACTAAATTTTAAAATAACCCAAATGGACTACTTCATTTTCTTGAATTGTATTCTCGGCATGGAGATGTCATGCTTTCCATGCTTGTAACTTCAAGTTTCGAGACAAACGAGTGGTATACTTGAATGTGCATTATTGGCTTAATTTTGTTAGAATGTAGTATATGAAATTTCTCACTTATCTATCGTCAAAGTGTCTATAGTCTGTGTGATAGAGTGGTAGTTTGAAATCAAACTGTCCTTGGTTCAACCAAACGGGGATGCAAAAAAGCCAAAGACCTACACACAAAGTAAGTTTTCTAAAATATAAAAAAGGGAGCCTTTGGTCCATGTGGTCATCATTCCAATTAGTCCACGTGGTAATTTGTAAATAGTAAAAAAAGGAGCCCATTGCATATAAAAAAGACAGCCCATGGCCAACGCGGTCCATCAATCCAATCAGGCCACACATTAGATTGATCAGATTAGTCATCATTGAAATCACATCGGATGGCTTCTTTCACGTATAGAAAAGGTCGCTCTGTCCTCGACATGTACTGGATGAGTCAGATATTTTCAGACATGTACGGTCCATGTGTTGATGAAGTGTCTATGGATGTCGAAACATGTATAAGAGTTGGCATGTGTCGACTGCAATACAATGAGAAATATAAGGTGTCGAGGTAACACTGGTTGAGACATGATTGCTGGGATAGATCGAACTGTCAGATTCAGAACAAATCTACATGGGTATGGATGACATTTGTTCAAGATGGGTGTTTATTTTCAATATTCTCCTTATGTTGGAACTTATGTTTATGGGGGTAACATTGGTTCTTTTTTTCTTTTTTTTCCCCCTAAGATAAAAATGTATTGTATTGTATTTTTTGTCAATGTTGAGTAGCATTTGATATATGATACATGGCTATTTCATTTTGCTGTCTGGCTAAGCATGAGGAGTTGAAGCTTTGTTCATGTTTCTTTCAAGCAGCTTTACTCTATATTTGGATTCTTTCTTTCAATATATGTTCATATCTCCGTTCTTTTCTAACAAATGTTAACAGTGATTGACAGAAAACAGCAAAGAGTGGTCTTCACATTCTTCTTGGTGGGCTTTGTGCACTGACAGTTAGTGTTTTCTTCCGTTTTGTAAGTACTATGTCCCGTAGGCTTGGAGCTTATTTTGTTTATATTTTCTAGATACTATGCATTCAATAGTGTGCCAATACGAGCATCATATTGGATTTGTCATCCTATTCAAAGTAATTTTTTCTTTCTTGCATAATAATCACCGTGGTTAAACTTAATTTAGCTGTTCCTTGTTAATGTGAAGATCATATTGTTAGACCTAACTAGATCATTACTGACTGGAAAAGTTTATTGGATTTTGTGTGGGGCTTGGTTGTTATGATTATTTATTCACAAAATATATCCATTATGCCATTTTTTTTTGCTTTCTTATATGCAAGAAGCTTATGTTGTATGGCATGAATGACTATCTTCTGGTATTTGTCTCAGGGAAAGTGTGTACTACTACTTATTCAGAGCTCTATTCAACAGACATTAAGGGGCCATTTGGGTACGTGGAAATCTATTACGTGACAATAGATTACACGGAAAAATGACATTTACACTGTTTGGGTACACTTTAATAGTAAGGAAATGGAAAGACATTACCCGAGATTTCCTAAAAAATCACAAAATCCATTACACGCGGTGAGGGGTGAAAAATCTATTACGAGGTTGAAAGGTAATCTTTTGAAATCTTCGCGTGCGTCTCTCTGCCCTATCCCCAATTTGGGTTGTAGCACTCATCTGACTCTCATATAAAAACCAAAAATCTTAATAATTGGTAAGTGAAAGTAAGGGGAAATCTAAATTGATTAGAACAGTTGTAGAACTTGATGAGGGACAATTTTCTACTGCAATCATAATAAAAAAATTTCTACATCCCTCTATCCCCAAGTTGGGTTGTAGCCCGCCATCAGCTCTCGTATAAAAACAAAAAATACTAAAAATAATAATTGGTAATCGATGAGAAATTACTCAACACAATCATAATAAAAAATTTCAACACAACATAATCCTCATAAGAGATTAGTAAAAGCTCAATTGAAATAAGATACCTCTTTAGTCTCCTCTAATGCTTCAAAATTTTCTACTGCAATTAGCAAACCTTCTAGTTTACTAATCAAACTTTTTCCTACTTTTTAACTTGTACCATAAAGATTTGATTTTGGTATCATAAATTTATTGCTTATTTGAAATTATATATAGAGAGACATTTGAAAGACTTCTATAAAAAATAAATAAAAATAAGGCTTAGCACAATAAAATCATGTTATTCCAATCATATTATTCCAATGACTTATCATGTTGAAACCAAAGTCTAATCATGTTAGCCAAACATAGCCATATTTTTTATATTTGGATGGTAATGCATTTCTCATATTTCTTCTAGACATAGCCAAACAGTAGCAATGTATTTCCCAAGTTGCATCTAAATACTACCCAAACAGTGACAATCCATTTGCAGATAATGTATTACCCAGTAAGGTATTATGTCCGTAATGTATTTCACAAACAATATATTTCCAGGTATCCAAACGGTGGCCCCTAAAGGATATCACAGAAATCTATGCTAAATGAATGCCATTTCCCTGACCCTCTGAAATGGGCAACAGAGTTACACTCTTAAATGAAGTACTACGTGTGTCATTTGCAAGAGTTGCATGTGATGCAGTTCTAATCTATGCCATATGTAAATATGGTCTGATATCTTCATTTCTTCACTTGGCCCTTGCTAATTCATAATTGATGCACTTCACGTCTGCATTTGTCTGAATTGACTCGTGAAATTGTTTTGCAGGAAACTGTCCGTATTCAGTGTTCCTGTTGAATTTCTTTGCATAGAAATAAGCAGTTTTTTCTTCATCCCAAACACTTCAGATTTTTAGACTGAGATTGCCCGAGATCTAAAGAACAATTGGGGCATGTCTGGCTGAAAATGAAAATGAAGCTAGAAATGTAGATATCCATCTCATCATCCACATTTAAATTTAATCAAAGGTTGAGGGTAGTTCCAGTGCCATTTTACCTGAATAGTGAGCCCCTATTGAAACCTTCTGAAATTTTGGAAAACTCCGAAAGTCACTGATAATCTACCTCTTTCTTTGCAAACTCCACCTCCCTCTCCTCCTTCCCTCTCTAAAACCTTTGTCTCCCTCTAAAGGAGGGAGAAATAATAAAAGCCAGTGGTATCAAGGAAATTTTCTCGATCCAAAATGTATCATTCATCCAAAATCAATCATTCATCCAAAATCAATCATTCTTCACATTACATTGAAATCCATTACACGATTTCCCCTACTCAGAAAAGTTCAGTAGAAATACAGGGAATAAAAATTGACTACAACATTTCCATTTCATAGTGTAAGGCTCTCTGTGAGCCTTTATTCTCAACAGGTAGCCACCTGGAAGTTGGTCTTTGCTCTGGCATTTTTGGCCCTGTTCTTGAGGTTTAATTTCTTGGGGCTCCCTGATGTTACTTGGATTATGTGCATGTCTACTCTCGTCAAGTAGGTAAGTCTCAGTTCTTGATAGTTTTCATGAGCGCTTTGATTCCATTCTGTTTTTTTTCCTCAGCTTAGCATTTTTTTTTTGGGGGGGGGATTCTGGTTTAATTCAGGGGTTATGATGGGATTTTTGTTTCCTGGTTGGGCTAAAATTCGATATTTGTGGGGGATTAGGGTTTGGATAAACGATCCGCTCAATATTGAGGAATAATGATTTATGGATGGTTTTATGTGGTGAATTGAGGTTGGTTCTTTGTTGTTTTGTGATTCTCTCTCACTCTAAAACCCCTTCTTTTACTAAACTCAGTCCATTGATTAGCAAAATATTCAGGTTATCTGCATCTCTGTCTTCCCTCTACCTCTCTCCTCTCTCTCTGTGTGATGGTTCTCTATGTGATGGTTTTGCCAGGCCATGGTTGTCTCTCTGCCTTCTCTCTTCCTCTCTCCTATCTCTGTGTGTAGGTTTTACCCTGCTATGGTTGCACTGCATGTCTCTCTGCCTATTCCTCTCTCCTCTATTACTGTGTGGGTTTTGGTGGACCATGGATGGAGTGTTAGAAATAGAGGGTAAGAGCACTTTTTTATCATCTGTGGTTTGGCCCTGTGACCACAAATGATTATTTAGCTCACATGGGTATCCACACATTCCCTAAATGGTCAAATTACCTCTTTTTTATTTTTTTATTTTTATTTATTTTAAACCGTGGTTTGATCTTCTAAACAATGAAGTGGTATCCAAACATGCCATTGACAATTTTCGAAAAAACAGAATGATTGAGAAGTTGGATTGTGGAAAATCTGTAGGAGATATGACCTGGTTCGCTGTGGGCTCTTTCTCGATTCTCTTTAAAATATTATTTCTATCTGATTTTTAACTCTTTACATAAAAAAACTCTCAGGGACTTCTGCTTCTAGAGGGAGATCTTAGGCCTTAGAATGATATCTTTGATATTAGTTAGTTGGTGAGAGTGTGTGTGTGTGTGTGTTTTCTGGTGTATTGGAAGCTATGATGTTGTCAAGAGGCACACTCTTTATTTGGTTTTCTCAACAAGACCTCTCTCAGTTTTGCAAAGTTTTATTGTTTTCTCTCTCTAAATTTCATATGCCTTGTCATTAGCTAACATCATCCACTCTAACTTCAAGTTTAGAGAGAGAGAGGAGGGGGGGAGGAGAGAGAGAGAGGGAGATCTATTTAGCGTCTTGATTTTGGAGACTGCTACTAGATGTAATAATGTTTCACCCGCATGTCCATTTGGGTGATCCAAAGCTGTTTGTGAAGAGCTTTCATTGAACTAAAAGTACTATTTCTATGATTCTTTCCTAACATGCGTGTTTTAGGCTTCAAATATTTATCATAATCCTAGGGATGAAATTAATGATGAAATTATGGGATTAATTAGAGTTTTGATTCTAAAACTCTTTAGTCCTTCCTAAATCCTAACGCAGTAGTTGTGAGCTTCCTTAAGCTTTGGTTTCCTATGTTGAATGTGTTTTGTTTTTTTTTTGGATGTAATTGGAGTTTCATTCTGTAACAGGAGTCTTACTTTTAGTAGACTACGATAGCTTAAGAATTGGGAGTTTAAATACTTGTATGGGGCCTATGGTGTGACAATGATTAGTGGAATAAAATTAACTTCTGTAAGTTTCAGTTGTATTGGTTGTATCATTGAGTTGCCAATTCCTCAACCTTCTCTTTCAATGTTGAGGCCACAAGTAAACTGGATCTTTGTATGGTGCAGATTCTAGAAAAAGTATTGTTCCCTTCTAGTTCTTGTAGGTGGTGATTGTATATAAATTGAGGTTAACCTTTTTTTGCTAAGGTTTTTTACCTTTACACATTGGTGGGACATGGGGCTGAAACTCTGTGGATCATTGTAAGAAAGGCCCTTTCCACTTACAATACTCTTATTGCATATTTAAGCCATTTGCATAAGACTTTGCGTGCCATCTGACAGGAAATGCATGGTAGCCCCCCTCTTCCAATCCGCTGCAAGGGGCTTTACCAAAGGCCTGAGCCCCTGGGTTTGCATTGGACAACCCTACTATAGGTCAAAAAACTGACAGAGGGGACAGGCTCCACTTCCTAGCTTCAGTTCTGACTTAGAGGCATTGAGTCAACCTTATCTTTGGTATAGTGTGGATTCCATGTCCGATCTAGGCTCACTTTACCCCTATGTGCCAATCATACATAGTTCTCTCTTTTGGAACATATGCTCCCCCCACCATATTCCATAATACGTTGACCCTTTGCCAATAGAGAGTGTGTTGGCGATTTGGGAATGTTAAGATTAGTACACAGTTTTTATAAGTTCTAGGACTCATATATAGATATGCATCCCCTCTTCATGATCCATTTTTCATGGATTTTGGACCTAATTTTTTGTGCATGTATAATCTCTAACATGGAGGACATGAATATGTAAAAAAAAATAACAATTTTTCGAAGAAAAATTCTAAATTGTTGATATTTTTATTTATTTATTTATTTATTTTTTTTCTGGAGAGACTACAACCCCACAACCATCTTTGAGATGGATGTGGGATGCCTCAGGGGATGCAAATGTAGTTGTGCATTCTCTAAAGCTTAAATCATTTTACCTTAAGATTATTGATACGGCAAATATGGACCTATGCATTGGGAGCTCTGGTGCACTAATGACCTATGACACCATGTTGACATTCTAAAATTAAATAACCCTGAAAAGACATGTACTACTGCATGCCTAAAGGTTTGAGCATATTAATTACACTGGAAAAGACATGTACTACTGCATGCCTAAAGATTTGATCATATTAATTATTAAATTACCCATTATACCCTTCACTAAGATACATCTTGTTGGTGGTAATAGAATAAAATCTGGAAAGGGAAAGTAATGTATCTTGCTATTGGCAAGAGAGTTATAATTTTGAAAGGGCAAAAGATGTGCATGGATAAAATAGCACTTTTGTTCACTCATATCCAATAATATTTTAATTTAGCTGACCCCAAATAGTTGGGAAAAGGCTATGATGATGATGATGACGATCATCCAATAGTGTTTTAATTTAGATTTGGAAGGCTATAGATGGGTTCAGTAATGCCCTCTGATGCATGACTAATAAATTGAACAACCTTCATGTCCAAAGACAATCATATCGATGTAGGATGAATTATGCGTTACATCTTTCATTTCAGAAATATCTTCTTGTTGGCAAGGAGTTATAATTTTGTAAGGGCAAAGGGTATGCGTGGGCAGAATAGCACATTTTTCTTACTTATGTCCAAGAATAGTTTAGATTAGCTACGGAAGGCTATTGATGGATGTACTAATGACCTCTGATGCATGCATTAACATGTTAGTATTCTAAAATTGAACAACCTTCATAACCGATTGATCACATCAATGTCTATGAATTACCCATTATACGCTTCATCCAAGAAATCTCTTGTTGTTGGCAAGATAATTATAATTTTGACAGGCAAAAGGGATGTGCTTGGTAAAACAATACACTTTTCTTACTCATATCAAACAAGCATTTTTAAATTATATAGGGAAAGTGATGGGCACATTTAATGACCCCTGATGCACGACTGATATGTTGATATTGTAAATTTTAACAACGTTGATAATTGATAAGTCTTATAAGGTTGCATGTTTAAGGATTGATCACATCAACATATGATGATGACCCATTATATTCTTCATCTGAGAAACGTCTTGCTGATGATAATAATTATTATCCTCAAGGGGCGGAGCATAGTTATTGGGATCACCTTAGCGAGATGATGATCCCATTCTGGAATCTCATTCTGGCGTGCCTCAGGAGAGGGGTCTTCAAAGGATTTTGATTTTTAAACTTTTGGATCTTGATCCCCATTGTTGGGGATCACAATCCCAAGTTATCGCTGGGATACTGAATCCATAGCATCATATTATATATATATATATATATATATATATATACTATCTATAGTGTAATGTAGTATAGTATAGCAATATAGAATTAGCATAATTGTACAAGTATAATTGTACATTATATATAGCATAGAAGCATTTTATAGAATACTATATAGTATAGTGAGGTTGGGATCAAGATCACCTAAAATATACATTGTGTGCATGGCTGTGGGGATTTCTGGGCTTTTACAATCCCCTGCTTCATCATCATCATCGTCATAGCCTTTTTCTAACCAATTAGTATGCCATTCTGCTCTATTAAGGGCCTTACCCTCAGTGAGGCCATAAGTCCGTATATTTTTTCTCACTACTACCAACCATGGGCCCTTTCAAATTCCCTGCTTCAAATCCTTAAATCACTCTTGATCCTGCTTTGATCCCGACAACTATTAGGCCTGACTATGCACGCTGATAAATAGAGCATTTCTCTCACTCATATTCAATAATTTCTAAATTATAGATTCGGAAGGTTATTGATGACCATGGAACTTCATAAGAATTGAGGACCTATCCAATTAAATTTAGTTCCTTAATTTTCCAAACAAAAATATTTGGATAAGATCATGGCAGCTTCATGTATAAAGAAATTAGTTTTTAGTTTCCATGGCAGAGGTGGAACTTTGAATATACAGTTTATTGTTTACCATCCATGAGTGACTTTCACGTGCTTGAAATTTTTGCGATAGTTGTAGAGCAATCATTCATACATGTGGCATAAGGCCCAGATCTCATTGCTCCTTTCAAGATGTATTTGGATGTTTACCTGATGTGTATGATATACTTTCTTGCAAGGTTTTAAAAATCACTAGGTGGCCGGCCTGGCACTCAACGCCCACGCCCATTGCCTAGGCAGGCCCCCAGACCTGAAAGCTATCTAGACATATGCATATATGTGCTGTCCGAATGCTCATATATGCATATATTAATGTTAACCAACCTTTTCCATACAAACTTATCACACATTAAGAATAAACATTTTCAAAACTTCAAATCATAGAAAATTTAATGAAAAAACTTTAAAAAGTCCATAAATTTGGGGCTTAAGAAAAAACTTAAGATTTCTTTTTTCGATTTAGTGAAAAAACTTAAAAAATCTCAGATTTTTTTTTATTGATTCACAAAGATCTCAAAATCAATAGATTTGGGGCCTAGATTCCAATATTTTTTTACTTTGAGGTTTAGAACACCTTTGAAGGCCTTTTCTAAAAAAAACGTGGGCGCCATTAGTGCCCTTGTTCTTGCACCCTTTTTTCTAAAAACAAGGGTGTAGGAACAGGGCACTAATGGTGCCCAAGCCTGGGTGCGTGCTCTGGGGTTCGCCCCACGCTTAGCACCGGGTGGACCGTTTTTTGAAACAAGGCTTTCTTGTTTTAATGGTGAATGCTTTCATGAACATCATGTGTATGTTATAACACAATGCGGATGAATTAGATATTTCATGTTAACAGTGGATGCCCCTAATTTTCATTCATATTAAGGGTATGGTTGAACAGCTATAGCTGTTGTACACTCGCACATGCATATTCTAGGGGCGCTACCTGGCATGTGTTCCTAGGTAGATATATGATGTACAAAATATAATACATTTTTTCTTAGGGCACCACCTGACAAGCAATCCCATGTCATCCCAAGGTAGGGAACTTTAGGCAGGGGACGATCACTATCCCTGGCTGTCACTCTGGCTCCACAGCCGCTCTTGCTTCCAACAATTATGGTCCTACATCATTGTTACTTTAAGAATTCAATGTTTTTGTTTTAGGGATTTTTGTTTGCCATGTACTTCTGTCCTTTCCCTCCATAAAGGAAACTTACAAGAGACTCAGGTTTACATGAGCGTCCCACCTCTTATTCTGAAAACTCCTCTCTCTCTCTCTCTCTCTCTCTCCTCTCTACTCTACTCTACTACTCTACTACTACTACTACTACTACTACGTACGTTATTACGTTACGTTACGTTACTTACGTTTAC